GTGCCCACATCCGCTATCAGACTAATACTCCTTAAGTTTTCTCATTTCTTCCTATCTCCTATTTTATGTATACAGGTAATATCTGCATCGGACCATTCATGTGGTATTTCGTTCAGATTTATAGCGTTAATAAACATTTCGTAAACGATTTTGTGCAGTTTCTTTGTTCATTAGTTCATTAGCGATTCTTCCAGGTCCCCTTGATTGTCCGTTTCTGAAACTGATTTCCCTTAACTTCTGATTCAGTCTCCTTTGATAAAGATACCTTATATATTCATCTTGCGGTAAGTGTATGCTGAACTTCATTTCGTTTTCTTTGCCTTAATTTTCTACTTGATATTCCTCGTTTTTTCTAGCTTGGGTATTCAACGTGTGGGGAAACCTTCTTTTTGAACTTATTAATCGGTGTTCAGTCTCGTATTTGGCTCTTTTATTTACTAGTGTATCTTTGGCCTATTGTTATCATTTTGCTATTTCCCGGTCCTTCCATTTAGGACCCCGCTATTATCATTTCTTGTATTAGTTTCACTTTTCCAATCCTTTCTCGTAAGATGTCCATAAACTGAACCTTTTCTAACACCGGACTGTTATCAGTAGGCTCCTATGTTCCCAGTATCACTATTTGCATATCATAAATTTTCATGATGAGTTTTACTAATTCTTCATTTATGGGTTTCCATAATTGTATTATCTTTACCCATTTTTTCTTGACTAGAATTCCCACTATGACCGCTGCTGTTTCTTCCTTTTTTTCTGCTTCAACAGTAGAATATGTCAACTATAAATTTTGTAATGTTTTATTAAGTTATGTGTATTAAAATTTAACTTCTAATCCACCCATGCATTCAGAATCATAGTTTGAGAAAGCCTGGGAAGGATGTACTGGAAAATTTAGTGTAGATGATGTCGTTTTGTAGATACTTGTAGGGAATGTAGTATTACCTCCTGTACGATTTGGTGAAAGTATTTGTGATAAACGTTCTTGTGTTATAACAGCTTGCAGTTTCTGTTGGCAAAATGAGAGACCTTCAATTTTATTGCAAGACTATTACAAAATGTATCAAATTCGTGTATTTGCTTCTAATTTTTGTTTTCATCCCAGATCTTTTACAGTGTTTCTATTGCTCGTTGAATAGATTCATGATTGATTGAAAGAAAGAACTTCCCGTTTACTGTCAAACAACTGCAATAATACAATTGAGTTCTCCATTCAACAATACGTAGTAGTTTCAACCATGTTCTACCATCCATCAATTAATAGAGTACCGGCATGTAAGTAATGTTTATTTTATTTATTTGCTCATTTCATTTATTATTAACATTAATTTATTACAATCGAAGAGACTATTTTATAACAATTTGTGGGCTTTACCTTGTCTGTTTAAACTTTTAAAACTTTTATTCAACTTACTCATTTAAATAAAACCACAGACATGTAACATTGGCATAATTATTGTAATTTACAACATCTACTTTGTTTATCGTTATTAGACAACACCCTAATATGGGTTTTTATTATTTCAGCATTTGTTTAACTTTGTATCGAGACCTGAGGATGCTTTGCATATTGTAAAAAGCGAAACCGGTCGTCTGATAGTTAAATTAAATTGATTGTAAGTCTTATTTATTATTTCTTTACCTATTTCACAAATAATTAATTGTTTTCTTATGTATATGTATGTATCTTTATTAAATGCTTATTTGGTTTGTATGCATTTTTATGTTCAATGTTGCTATACTGATTGGCCTAGTCTACCTGATTGAGTACAGCACTTTTTTTTAAACCAATTTAAAAAAGGTAAACAATATTTTTTTTATATAATGATCATAATTAAAAGTAACTACTAAAGAATTTAGGTATTTTCAGTTTCTATCTTGGCGGTGGGCATTAATGCGCACGACAGAAAGAGTTAGTAACACAGTTAAATGTTCATAATTATACTTCTATTTAAGCGATGAGGAGAGTCCGTTATACAACATGTACAACTTTATTTATTTTTAAATTAATTAATTAAATTAATTTTAAATTAGTTAATTTTTTTCTTATATTATCTTTAACTTCTATTTGTGTCTTCGTTTGACAGCCTCATATATCTTTTCCTTTTAATAAGCATATATAATCCTAAAAATTATACCCAAGCCACAGTCGATCTGGGAAAGTAAACAATATAAACTAACATTAAAAAATTCGTTTTATTCACAACATTTCATAATTTACAATCACAGCTCAGAACTACATAATCTACTCACAGCTTAACAAGAATAGCCAAGTTTCTTAACATAAATCATATAACAAAATAACATTTATGCAACAAAATTAGATAAAGTATTTTACAAAAGTAAAATGCACGACATTAATATATTTTATCTTCAACGAGCAATAATCACAATTTCAGTTAAAAATAAAATTACTTTAAAGTTTCGGTTTTGAAAAATGGAAATGGAACCGTCAAAATCAACGTATTTTTAACTAAAAGTGTGGTTAATTCCTATTAAAGATATTAGATATCTGATTTTGTAACCGATATTAAGTTTAAAACATCCAAAGAAAACAATCTAGCAACTTCACCTGTATATTTATGGCTTCAGAGAGCTAATCCTTGATCATTGGGTCCAAAATGCATATTATTAGCAATACTAGATTGATAATAATACTAAATTATTTACTTAGCATTACTGACAATGTAAAAATACGTTTAAATATAAAACTACAAAAAAATGTTACTCATCGACAGAAGATATAATATTGATACAAAACAGAATATATCCATTAATAAAATACAACGATTTTCAAAAAGCATTTTTGATAAAGACAATCTACACAATTTTAAAATCACAATCCGGGAAATAAATTTCATATACCTTCGGTTGGCAAAAGTGCTTCTTAGCTATCTTCATATTCATTTCTAGTTTCCCTAGTTTCACTTTTTACTTCGAAACAGTAGAAATATCCTTTCCATACTTCTATTACTGACGTTTTCGTTTTTTCATTACTGATAGTTCCGCCTACCATTCAGTGCTTTTATTTTTTCTGTTTCAAATATTATTTAATACTTTATAAAATCTTTTCTGATTGTTTTATTTTATCATCCTAATTTTTGACCAAACTCATTCCACGTTTTTCATTAATAATTCTTTTTTTTTTTTGGGGCAAGTAATATTTAATATTTAACCAATATCGAGTGTCTTTTTATTTCACATTTGACTACTTTTTATACATACATAATCTCATCCGGAAATGTATCTTTTAACCTTATAATTCGTCCCATATGAGTCAGTAACTTTAATATAAGTTAACTGATTCATTTAATAATTATTATATTCATTTTAACCTTCCCAATTTGCGATTTATTATTTAATATTGTAATTATTTTCAATCTTCATATGGCAAGGAATAATTTTAAAACATATGCAGTCGCTAACTGAAGATTTATTATTTCAGTTTCTTGGCCTGAATACATTTTTCTTGACCCCCTTGTGGGTGTAACTTTCTAAAAACCTCATGGTGAACCATATAGAGGGATGACAACTGCAGCAGCATAGCAGATACACAGAACGTATAGCTGCTTAGGACCAAACCGACTCGATGCCGGCGTCACCACCAACCTGAAAGCTACTAATCAGCAAGTTATTCTGTGACGAAAAATTAGAATCCATCAGCAAGTCAACCACAAAAAAATAAGATCAGTTAAAAATCTTTCTTGTAAAACTGTAGACAAGATTTGCTTTGATTTTAATTTAACATTAAAACTTCAATTTTATATATTTTTTGTATAATAAATATGATTAGTTAATATCTTGGTTTATTTATCCCAGCCAAACTAATTTTTTAGATTTACTTCTAAGTTAAGACGTTCTCACACTTGAGAGACTGAGCTAAACGAGATCTAGCAATTGGTTCCCAAAGAAAGTTATGAGTTTATTCTACATTAGCTTCCAACTTCCGAATTGGTTATATTGTCACCCACCGTTTCTGATGGTTCCTTCGATGGTTCATTTGCCCAGACCACTAGCATATTTTTTTCTTGATTGTGATTTTATAAATTTGTTGTTGTTTTGTTTGGTTCAATTGTTGATATCTTCCAGTTATGCGTTTTGTTCATTTTGCACGTTTCAAATTCGATCTTTTTCTTCAGAATATTATGTATGCACAAATATTCATTTTTTATTTTTGTTACGAACATGTAATAGTCGCTACCGATTTCTGTACTAACTCGAGTATCTAGGGCTGCTTTTCTGTATTCTTTTCGGATATATTCAATTAATATTTATAAATAAATACATATAGCTAAGACAGATTACCGAATTGGGTGAACAATTTTGAAAATATCAGGGCAAATAGATGAAAAACAAGCATGATGGTAACTTGAAAAGGTAACTTCAAATAAAACAGAAAAATTCCATACTATAATAAATGAATATTGTTTAACAAATACATTTAGCCCAATGACCAAGCCTCCTAGTCGATAACGTTGTACCTGTAAATATTCATAACAATTGCAGTTATTAAATTTTCAAAAATTCAATTATCAAAAATGGAGTACAAAAAGTAACTTTTTAACGAACAACAGATCATTTGATTTATCCAAAAAAATGTATAGAAAACTTCTTTATAAGCTTATCAGGTATCGAAATAATAAATAATTTCGTTACTTTTTGTATAACCTGTATAATATATACTTATAATCTTACAGATATCTCCATACAACATGCCTATTAAATGCAGAATTTGCTATTAACTGGATTATCTATCTTGCATAAACTTACACAAGTGTGCTATGAAACAAAAATCTTAAGCGTCTCTAATACAAATCAAACAAGTAATCCACGTGTTCTTTATTCTTGCATATCGTTATACTCTACGTTCTTTTTCTTTATTGAGAAACATAATACTGTTTTACACTTAATGTTGACAACCACATAACTTTGATATTACCTATAAGTATCGGAAAACTGCTTTCAGATCTACACATTTACATTTATTCTTGATCAAGTCGTCGTTAAGGTTTATTAAGAATTTCTGAAATTACTATAATTGCTGCTGCTCCAATAACAAACAGTCCTGCAGGCACAGCTGATGCTATTTTTCTTTCTAATAGGAAAATCATATGAATTAATATACATTATAATATTTACATCTCGTAAACGTAATACTATTTACTTTCCATTTTACATTTACAAACATTGTGTGCCAATAAATATAAAAAATTAATAATGTAACAAATCTAACAATTACCGGTTCTATTTTTTTTCACGAAAGGATTGTTTATATTGTGAATGTCGAAGAACAAAAAAAAAACAGGTAATTTTCATTACAATAATTGTGGTTTATTTCCAATAAATATAAAATAATCAGTTTGAAACCTACGACAAGAAAATAATTTTAAAAATAATCAAATTAAAAAACTCATGGTAACCAGAGAGCTCTGGAAATGGGACAGATATAAACAAGGATTTATAAACCCACCAGCCCCAAAAACTAATCGAACCAAAAAGAGATGTAAAGCAGCAAGAAACAGGAAACAACGCAATACCAGAAATAACGACTATAAAATAATCTTTGATAAAGGCACAGAGAAAGACCAGGGTGCAGCACCAGAGGAAGAAGATAACTTCGAAGTAGATGTAAGTAGAATACGTAATAGTAATAGGACTAACATTAGTAATATTAATAAAATTATTATCACCCCTAATAGTAATAATAAAGTTACAAAGATTAGCAATAAATATAAACATACTTTCGAGGTTTAAGGGGTAAGATAATAGTTGTCGAGTCGGCTAAAACCAACGAAGTGTTGTAACGCCACGGAGTAAGTAAGTACAGTTTAAAGGAATAAGAATAAGGAGTATACAAAAATAAATTTCACATTAATAAGTCATTTAACGAAATACCATTCGAGTTCGTCTTCTTCCTCTTCAGTTCCTTCTGTAATTTCAGGAGATGGATTAGCAAATAAGACAAGCAGTAAGAACAAAAATAGAACAAAAAGTCATTCAGCAAAAATTAGTAAACTCTAGAATATAATAACTTTTCGAATGGAAGAGATCTTAATACAAATCTATGCTTCAGAAGAACGAACACCGGAAAAAGAAAAGTTGGAATTTTACATATATCTACAAAATGTACTAGAAAACGAGAGAGAACAGACAGAAAAACAGAAACCATACGAGACTGGAAGACTGGAGTGCATGGGAAAATATGATATATGCAAGTAGCAAACAAGAACAGAATAAAAATTATGAACAAGACTTTTTGCAAAAGTAATCACCTGAGTTATGGAAGCCGGCCCTGTTCCAGTCATTCGCCTAAGAATGATGATCTAGGATTTCTGTTTTAATGAACTTTGCAATCTGATTAGTTTACATTTTTATATTTACTTAGATATCATTTTTACCATTGCGTTTTTAATTAAATATACTTCAGTCTGTATTTAAACTTCAAAGAAAGCACATTATAATTTTATATAAAAATTGTCCGATCTTTTTACGTATTTTTGTAACCAATTAATAAAGTAATTATTTTTTAAAAATAGTTTTGCCTAAGGGAAAACTATAAGTGGCGCAGTTAGTACAGATTTTCGGGAAAATCCATCGCGGAAAGTTCTTTGGGTTTCAACCCTTCGCGAAAATCGAGAACCAATATCCCAGTTTTGCCAGTGAACTCCATCGAGGAAGACAGTGTGCAGTACGGATGTGGTAAGTAATTTTTGTTTATGTCAGACTCCTCTTCTGAAAACGAATCCTTTAGCGAAATCGATACTAACGAAGAGTTAGGCTTAATTAATAATTTTTGTAAATTAGATTTAAAAGATAAAATGGCAACACCTGTTCTAGATATGAAAACTTTCTCAATTATTCCAAATTTTGATGGAAATATTAATAAACTTCACAGATTTGTAAATGCAACTGAATCCATTTTAAATCATTATTTTGATAGGAATAATCTAGCCAGTTTTCAAAATGTTTTATTGTTAAATGGTATTCTTAATAAATTAGAAGGCAAAGCAGAAGAAATAGTAGCCATAAGCGGCGCTAAAACTTGGCCAGATATAAAAAATACTTTGATTCAGAATTTTGGTGATCATCGTGATGAAAATTGCTTGAATCAAGATTTAGTAAATATGAAACAGAAACCTAATGAATCTCCATATTCTTTTCATGAAAGACTTTTAACTTTATTAAATGCCAGTTGTAATTATATTGATTTACACTATATTAATCAGGAACGTGAATCTAAAAGAGCTTTCTTTACGAAGCAGGCTTTAAAATCATTTTTAGCTGGTCTTAGGGAGCCTTTAGGGCCCATTATTCGTGCAATGCGACCTGTTTCGTTAGAGCAAGCGATTCAGTTTATTAGAGAGGAGGATAATATTAAGTATTATCAGAAAAATCAAACTTTTAATCATAATAATTCTAATAATAATAATAATTTTATTCGAAAACCAACTAATCCAAATGTCAATCATTTTCAATCAACTCGACAGTCAAATATACAATATTCTCAGCCAAGAATGAGCCAACCTTCTACATCTAACTTTCAACCAGATATAACTCAGACAGTTGACTACCGATCTCAATTTCCCAGAGGTCCTGTACAACTTCCAAGACACCCAAATCCACCCCAAACCAAATATTTTACAAATTCTCAAGTTTTCGGTAAACCAAAAAATGTTTGGAAGCCCAATCCAAACAATAATCAGACTAAACCTACTCCTATGAGTATTTCTACACGAAATACAGCACCACACTTCCGACAAAATTATAATCATTTTAAAAGCACAGGCCAAAATCCAAATTTCTATCATGAAGAGTTATTTAACACAGAGGTTATATCTGAGGAAGAAGATAATGAAAATTTTTATAATTCAGATGAATATTTTGACAACTATCAATATGTAAATGATGACGATTCCCAAAATTTTCACGAAACCGACTTGACCAACGACACCCCTTGATAGAACTTAACATTTCGTCTGATAAAAAAGAATTACCCTATCTCAAAATTTCTAATCCACCCATTATTTTATTGATTGATACTGGAGCGACTAAGTCCTTTTTAAAGCCTGAAATTGCCCAAAAATTCTATAAAAATAAAATATTTAGGGAACCTTTCACTGTATCGGCAGCATTCCAAACATCAACTCAACAAAATTGTGCAATGATCCCCATATTTGATGAATTTAATAAATCTGGTGATTTTAAATTCCACCTTTTCGCTTTCCATGATATCTTTGATGGCCTTTTAGGCATAGATACCTTAAAAATATTACAAGCCCATTTAGATTTTGCAAATTCTAAATTAATTACACCCGAGACAACTTTGCCAATACATTATTTGGAAAGTAATCCAGCTATTTTTAAAAGGAAAATCGATCCCCATAGTCGTATTGTAACCAATATTCCTGTCTGTCAAAAATACGGCGATATCTTAATTGCCAGACAATTCATAAAGAATTGCGAAATCCCTTCTATACTTTCTGAAGCTCAAAATGGCAATGCTATAGTTGAAATACGTAATAATACTGATGACGAAATTATTTTCTCTCTTTCTGAACCTCTCCAAACTGTACCTTTTGAATATAATTCTTACGACCTATTTTATGCCGATATTATACCAGACGAAAATACCGACAAAGTAGATATTGACAAGCTTATTCGAACTGGTCATCTCAATTCCGAAGAAAAGGCACAAATTATAAAACTGTGTAGAAAATATTCTACAATATTTCACAGAGAAGGTGAACCACTTACTTTTACTAACCAAACGAAACATTCCATAAAAACTACTGACGAAATGCCCATTTATTCTAAGTCATACCGTTATCCATTTGTATACAAAACAGAAGTACAGAGACAAATACAATCCATGTTGGACCAAGGAATTATTAGGCCGAGCAATTCGCCTTGGTCGTCGAATATTTGGATAGTACCAAAAAAAGCGGACGCTTCCGGTAAAAAGAAATTCAGAATCGTAGTGGACTACCGCAAGCTCAACGAAAAAACCATAGACGACCGCTATCCCATCCCGAATATTACCGATGTTTTGGATAAATTAGGCAGATGTAACTACTTTACAACTTTAGATTTAGCTAGTGGCTTCTACCAAATCGAAATGAAACCTGAAGATATCCAGAAAACAGCTTTTACCGTAGAGAACGGACACTATGAGTATGTTCGAATGCCAATGGGATTAAAGAATAGCCCAGCAACTTTTCAGAGAGTAATTGACGACATTATGAGAGGATTACAAAATGAGATATGTTTAGTTTATTTAGACGACATCATAGTATTTTCTACGTCGTTGCAAGAACACATTGTGAATTTGGATAAAGTATTCAAAAGATTAAAAGAGACGAATTTTAAAATTCAATTGGATAAATGTGAGTTCCTAAAAAAGGAAGTTACTTATTTAGGACACATTGTGACACCTGAAGGTATTAAGCCAAACCCCGATAAGATCGCAGCTATCAATAAGTACCCATTACCAAAAACAGCTAAAGAAATAAAATCCTTTCTTGGATTACTTGGATTCTACAGAAGATACATAAAAGATTTTGCTCGAGTGACAAAACCATTAACATCTTGTCTAAAAAAGGGTGCGAAAATTGAACACACACCACAGTTCATAAAATGTTTTGAAGATTGCAAAGAATTGCTTAAAAACGAACCAATCTTACAGTACCCGGATTTTACGAAGAAATTTATTCTGTCAACTGATGCAAGTAGTTTCGCTATTGGAGCAGTTTTAGCCCAAAATACAGGCGGACAAGAAAAACCTGTTGCGTACGCATCCAGAACGTTAAATGAATCCGAACAAAAGTATAGCACTATCGAGAGAGAATTATTAGCCATAGTATGGGCCACAAAATACTTCAGACCTTACCTCTACGGAGTTAAGTTTACAATAAAATCTGATCATAAACCGCTTAGATACTTAATGTCTTTGAAGGAACCAAACTCTAGACTAGTTCGATGGCGATTAAAACTAGAAGAATTTAATTACGAAATCGAATATATAAAAGGAAAGACAAACGGAAATGCCGACGCTCTATCTAGAGTTGAAATAAATACTAATGAATTTATAAAATACAT